CTTTTGTCACGCATGACTGATTATATCATCTCGAGAAAACATTATTCTTCCCGTAATTATATCTTTTATGACTGTTACAAATATTGACACCAAACAATAATGAAATATATTAGGGTGTGCTCTACTTTTTTCTTTGTGTATATATTGATTCATTACTGAACATTTTACACTTTACAATTGTGGGGGACATTAAAACAAAAGATAATGACCAATGTAGCAGAGAGGGGAAATAATTTACTGCTTTGTTTTATTAAGAATTCTTCAAATTACAATAAATTAAAATAAACTAACAATGTGTCTTTCAGAGTATTGGTTGAAAGTGCACCAGATATAAAACGTAGGCAATGTGCTAACTGTTGACAATCTGTTTGTAGATTTCAAATGAATTCTAACTTGCACATGGGTTTGTGTGTATTTCCATAACATTACAATGGAAAGTAAAATGCAAGATGAAATTACCCTTCCAACGGATTTATAACAAATTACTGACTGATCCTCCTCCTGCCTGACACGAGTGGCTCGAATTAATGCACTTCTCAATTTCAGCAATCATGACTTCGTCACATACTGATACCATTACATCTCACTTAAACTACATTTTCACAAACCATGTAAAAGCTAATGAAATAAATAACACCAAAACTCTCTCTCTCTTTAGATTTTTTGAAATATGACTATGTCTAAAATATCTCAAGACGATTAGCACGAGTGGTTGTCCCCCACTAATTTCAAACACGAAGCTGGCGGCGGGGCTTATCGGCCTTAACTGGATCGGTTTCTCAGAGGAAGCGCCATACCTGTCTTTATGGTCTAGTAGCATGGGGAGTTTAATTTCGAACGGGATTTTGTCCACAAGACACACGTCGTGTTTCAATGAATGTCTGAAGGAAGATTCGGGTACTGTTTTGAGCCAAATCCAGTAAAAACCTCATACTGTGGGATTGCTGGGATCATATACCCACAATGTTAATTTCATACACGAAGAATTTTCAGAAGAATTTCAACAGTAACAGTATTTGAATGGGGCGAAAATGAAGTTACACAAAGCACACGTGGGTAGGTGAAGGTCAAATGCTATTAGTTTGGGAAAAGATAAAAAACATAAAAAAACTATCCACAAAAACGCATAATACCGTATTCCACACACCATATGCTTTCAATAGGATACATGCAGAAATGGCTGAGCTATGGCAATTTGTTTGAAGCAACATTACTGGTATAATTCTTGCCAATAGAAGCGCAAAAGACTCCTTTCCATAATAATAAGCAATCTCTACTAAAAGCATAGCGCATTGTTCGAATCCGACTTTATTGGACCTTACAGTATCCTTATCATGAACTTGTTCAAGAGCTCATGCAATTAAATACTTCATTTTAATCTTCACCGTTTTTAAGATTCAAAATTCTCGTTTTCCTGTTGTTTGATATGATGTAGAAGACGTTTTGGCTTGATGAGTTTATTTGCAATGTTAGATTTATCAGTTATTAATGTGTCACCATCTTTAACGTGTACAGACAATTTTACACCATTTGTAGTGTTTGAACCCTTGCCTTTTATTTTTTTAAATAGGTTCAACACCTTGGATATGTGTGTTCGTGAATTCGTGTTCGTGAAGTTTGGAAAAAAAATTGAAAGAATTTTCAGTTCATTAGTAAACAATGCTCTACAAACATGGGTATTTGCAGAGGACTAAGAAATTATTTGGTCAGCAAAGTTATTTAGTTGAAACCCTAAACAACTGGATCGAATCTGGGACATTTCTGAAATTGTCCTTTGTGAAACAGACAGACTATTCACATTCATTGTAAACAGTTAATCAGTAAGAGGCAGATCAAGAGCCGAATAAGATTGAATGGCAGGATATACGATACATAGCTATTTGAATTATCATTAAAGAGACATAAATTATTATCAGAAATAAAATCTTCAATGACCTTCTCCTTATTGTTTGTACTGGTACTTCCGCAGAATGGGATATGCCCATTTAAATCGCCAATGATGATGCAGGGCTAAAAGAGCTGATCATATAGATTCTTAAGATCAGACTTTTGAAGAGCAGATGAAGGTGGTACACATAAAGAGCACAAAGTAAAAGCGATGTACATTGTAAGGCGGATAGAAACAGCTTGAAGTATTTTAAATGGTCAGCACTATGAATGACGTTCTGCCTGACTATATTAGTACAGTCTCCAGCTGACGTATTGCCCGGATGAGAAATCAAATGATGACATCTGTTCTGTCTTAGGTCAAATGTCTCTGAAATGTTTAAGGTAATGACATGTATGTGGGGCATACTAAATCTCAAATGCTTGACCAAAATTAAATTTAAAAAAACGGAAATAGCGCAAATCCGACCGAGACAGATTGCTGACGGCTGATGATAAATCATTAAAATTGGCCCTGAGACCTCTGCAATTTCACTGAATTCAATAATTGGTGATACTTATTCAGGTGGTTAGTTGGTTCGTTGGTTTGTTGTTTAACGCCGCACTCAGCAATTTTCCAGCTATATGACGGCGCTCTGGGATCGATGACATGTTTCAACCAAGTCAGCGAGCCTGACCACCCGATCCCGTTAGTCGCCTCTTACGACAAGCATAGTCGCCTTTCACGGCAAGCATGGGTTGCTGAAGACCTGTTCTACCCCGGATCTTCACAGGTGGTGTAACAGGGGATCAACTCCTGACTGGCCTCTTGTACGACCACTAGTGCTCATTTGACGGGATACTTCTGTATCCATCTCCTCCATCAACCCATACCTACTGTGAAATTGCACAGGATCTTTGAGTACCTGAGACATTCGTTCAGTTTAACTTTTCTTTTTTGCAGTTTCGACATTTTCCATTGCTTAAGCTTTTGGGGTTGATTCTGGTGATGTTGATAGGGATGCTTCTTGCGGTGATATAAGACCTGTAACATTGTCAGATATGTCTGACAATGAACTGATGCTGTTTTAACCGTGTGAATTGTTTAAACTGCAGAAGCATGAGACTGTCCTGTTGTGTAAGCAGATGCGACCACTTTTTCTTGTTTCCTGGCTTCGGGGTAGCTGATGTTTTTATTCAATAAATAATATTTAATTTTCTGTTCAGTGGATTGAAACGTGTATTCACTGCATCAGTTGAAAATGACATATGATCACCGTGACAGTTGAACCATTTCAGAGACTGAGTACATGTGTTGCCATCATGATCAATTTGACCACATCTGAAGCAAGTAGCTTTACGTGTTCATGAATTCTGCACATGTCCAAATTTCTGACATTTAAAACAGCAAGTAGGTAGATAGGAGGTCCACAGGCATGGAGAAACTACAAACTTAATGAGACTTGGTAGAACTGTTGTGTCGACAGTCAAAAGATAATTAAGTGATTGGGGGAAACGTCCTCTCTACGATAAGTGAATCGTTTGACTTAAAAGACACCTTGACTGCGAAGTTTCGATTCAATTTCGTCGATGGTCTCGGATTATGCCTTTACGGAAATTGAGGGTCATGTGAGCAGCCAACAGTTGATGTCATCAAATTTTGATTGCTTGTGTTTACCTAGTACGGGAGAAGAGCAACTCGCGTCACCTGGCACTCACGAAGTGGAGGTTGCACTTCATGATTGCCTTTTCAAAGCTGAAGTGCCCTTTTTGTAAAGTAGTTACCCTGCCCTTTTCGGAAGCTGCCGGAAACAATAGGTATCCTGCCCCACTCGTGACGTAAAGGAAAGTCAAGGCAAGGCCATTAATAATTAATAGTCAGCGCCATTAATGTCAAATCGATATTGAACAATGTAAACTTAGTCTGATCTGAGTAGTAAAGTCAAAGCAGCCCTCGTCACAGAGATCTATTGCATTCATTTTCTCTGCTCGGTGAATATGGCTCTTAAGATGTTGCTAATGACAGTAATTTTTATCCGAGACGTTCATTTAGTTTGCATCAACGTTTGTTTGTTTGTTGTTTTACGCCGCACTAAACATGATTCCAGCTATATGACGGCGGTCTGTAAATAATCGAGTCTGGACCAGACAATCCAGTGATTGACATCATGAGCATCGATCCACGCAATTGGGATTGATGACATGCATCAACCAAGTCAGCGAGCCTGACCACCGGATCCCGACAAGCATAGTCGCCTTTTACGGCAAGCATGGGTTGCTGAAGACCTATTCTATCCCGAATCTTCAACGAAACAGGCATGACAACAGATGACTGTTATTTCGAAAACAACCTGTATGGCGTCATTGAAGAAGGGTTTTTTGTCGAACTTGAGTGCGCAGTGGAATGTTTGTCTCATTCCGATTGTTTGTCATTCGGATTCGAACCTACCCTTTATTTGTGCCATCTGCACAAGAAAGACAGTAATACAGCACCAATTGACCTTGTGGAAAAACCGGGGTGGAAACATAGTGATATTTCTCAGTGGCCAAAGGTAAATGTTTATACTTCTGTCATATATATATTATATGTCTTTGTATACTTCCAGATGATTCAAGTAGTTGTATTTACCATACATGATATAGAACAACGTGGTAGCCTTGTGGTTAATGTGGAAGCTAGTCCACCCGAAAACCTGGTTTCGATTTCCCTCATACATGTTGGTATTATGTGAGAAGCACATTCTTAGTGTGCCCTTCCTTTCTGTAGTTTTAATTGTATTGACAGTGGCGTAATAGTTCACAGATGTCTTTTTATCACAATTTGTGTCAAGTTAAACTGGAAATAGATAAATCAAGTCACTTGATACACTGTTTAGTACATATCCATGTGAGCTACAGCTACACTATTGTATATACCATTGCTGGGATCATTTTCACATAAATTCTCAGAAGTGACACGCACAGGAGCGCCAAGGTAAGGCAATGAATAGTTAATAGTCAGCGCCAGACACTGAAAAATCGATATGGACCAACTAACTCTGAAAAGGCAGCATTAAAATTATAGCAGCCCTCGTAACAGAGATCAATTGCATTCATTTTCTCTGCTCGTTGAATATGGCTCGTATGATGTTGCTCGTGACAGTAACTTTTATCCCAGCAATTCGTTTACTTTGCATCAATGAAGCAGGCCTCACAACTGATGACCATTACTTGGAAAACAACCTGTATGGCGTCATTGAAGAAAGGGTTTTTGTCGAACGTGACTGTGCAGTGGAATGTCTGTCTCATTCCGATTGTTCGTCCTTCGGATTCGAACCTACCCTTTATTTGTGCCATCTGCACGAGAAAGACAGTAATACAGCACCAATGGACCTTGTGGAAAAACCGGGGTGGAAACATAGTGATATTTCTCAGTGGCCAAAGGTAAATGTTTATACTTGATACTTTATATATATGTCTTTATATACTTAAAGATGATTCATGTTGTTGTTGTTTTGCATACATAATATAGAACGACATGGTAGTTAGAATTCATTTGAATATCTATAAACACATTGTCAACAGTTACCACATTGCCTACGTTTTATATCTGGTGCACTTTAAACCAATACTCTGAAAGACACATCGTTAGTTTACTTTAATTGAAAATAATTGTTAATAAATCAAAGCGGTAATTATTTCCCCTCTCATTAACAGTTTGTTTTAATGATAAATGAATCATAACTTAAACTATTATTTTTCATTTGGAAATCTGGAACATGTGATTGGGCTTGCTCACACAATGTCACAAGGGATATGTCGAGACCTGGGTCCACTTGCACAAAGCGATCTTAGCGCTACAACTATTGTAAATCCTTAAGATCGCGAACTTAGGCTTCGGCTACAATCGCCATCCACTTGCAAAACGCGATTGTAGGCTAAGATCATCGTGAGCTACAATCAAGACTTACAATTGGTCCGGATTGGTCACATTAGTTTCAGTTATTATCCCCCGCCACGAAGTGGAAGGGGGATATAGGAATGGGTGCTGTCCGTCCGTCCGGCCGTCCTTCCGTCCGTCCGTTTCCGGAGCAGATCTTGAAAACCGTACCATATTTATTCACCAAACTTGGCACATAGATAGATCTAGTGGTGAACTGGTGCATTTTGATAGTTTGGGATTTAAAAAAAATTTATTTTTCGAGTTTCCATGGCAACGACTTTGATTTAGACTGAAAATGGCGGTACTCCTCGTTTCCGGAGCAGATCTTGAAAACCGTACCATATTTCTTCACCAAACTTTGCACAAAGATAGATCTAGTGGTGAACTGGTGCATTTTGATAGTTTGGGATTTAAAACAAATATATTTTTCGAGTTTCGATGGCAACGACTTTGATTTAGACTGAAAATGGCGGTAGTCCTCGTTTCCGGAGCAGATCTTGAAAACCGTACTATATTTCTTTACAAAAAGGCCCAGTGAACATAGTTCACAGGAGCTCATGTATTGCACACACCCGACATGTCATATTGGCGGGGGATGTGAGTATTTCATGCTTGTTTGTCTTTAGTTTATCACTAAATTAATTCATAAATAAATACAAGTTGAAGTGCAAAATCATTCATGTTAAAATCTAAAATTGAGTGGGCGGGGAAGAGAGGTTTAAATATATGAATTTAAAAGAACAAATTACAAGTATTCATCAAACAAGTAAATACACATGATGAGACATTAGAAAAAGTGTAAAATATCCCATGAAAAGCAAAAGTAAAATACACACTTTTTAAAAATATTTTAAAATATAATTAATACCCAGAGAATATATATAACACAACTGCTTTCTCAAGCTATTATTTATTATTCTTATTTTCCGCCCATGTATTCCCCCGTCTTTCTGTTTTGAAATGTATTCATAACATCCTTTGTTATAGCGACGAAACGAAAACATGAAGGATATATTTAGGATTTTACGAAAAGCTCCCTCAAATCGATGACGATCATACATTTACGTGTTATGTTACTACGACGTATTGTTATTTTTTATTCTAATTTTCATAAGAAGTATGTCACTAAATCCAGAGCCAAATTTTTGAATGAATGTATTCGTATTTTCACACTTTAATAAAACATGAGTAGTTATTTCTCTTGTTGCAATATCAAACAATTCCTAAATCACGACAGTATCAATGCCGAAAAAAAATAATGCTATCATTCTAGTAATCGTTTTCCTCAAATAATTTGGACTTTTCTTGAAACTGTACAAGGTACGATGGAGGGAGGTCATGTTGTGTGTCGGTACCGGTTCCACTTATTGTATGCGCAGCAAGCGTTGCGCGTTTGCAGACAACTGTAGACAGGAGTCGAGTTTAAGATATTCGTACCTCCTCCATTGAAGATTTCAGTTTTGGCTAAGATCGCGATCTTAAATCCAAGCCGTCTATCAATCGCGCTAAGATCGGTTTGTGCAAGCGGAATAGGACAATTGTATGGTGATTGTAAAGAATCTGAGATCGCCTAAGATCGATTGTGGCCGCCTTTGATCGATTGTAGCCGCCTAAGATCGATTGTAGCCGCTTAAGAACGATTGTAGCTGCCTAAGATCGACTATAGCCGCCTAAGATCGATTGTAGCCGCTTAAGAACGATTGTAGCTGCCTAAGATCGACTATAGCCGCCTAAGATCGATTGTGGCCGCCTTAGATCGATTGTAGCCGCCTAAGATCGATTGTAGCCGCTTAAGAACGATTGTAGCTGCCTAAGATCGACTATAGCCGCCTAAGATCGATTGTGGCCGCCTTAGATCGATTGTAGCCGCCTAAGATCGATTGTTGCTATGATTGTTCTGTGCAAGCGAGTCCTGCTCAGAGGCCTACATTCAGCGCCAAATCTCAGAAGCAAAGAGTTTTTATATATGTATGCAATGCTAAAAGACCTCTGAATTTAAGAAAAATATAAGTTAAAAAAATCATATAAATGTTTTTCTTGTTTGCATACAGGTCATACATCTTCCAGAAAAAAATGAAACCTGTCATGACTAAATTATTTGAACAAAGGGACTGCATTCCATCCAGTCAAATAACTGCATTGAAACATAATAAAACACAGTTAGAATTCAGTTAGTTTTTTCATTTCGATTCATGAGTCCAAGGTGATTTGTTTTTACAGTTAACTGCTCAAAAAAGTAAATTAGATACAAATAAAATATCGAAAGTGAAACCTTTTTCACAATATAATTGCACGTTAAAATCATGAATGTTGATGATTAAAAAGATATCATTGTTTTATTGCGTATGGGTCCTCCGCATGTCTGTAGGACATTAGTGCGAGTAGTATATGTTTCATTTTCCGAATCAGAGAAAAACATACATATGCTGTGACAAGTATTTCGTAATATGTAATATAATATATTTAGATGGATTTCTTAGGTAGGTTGACACCTGCTATTCTTTAGATATGAAATTTTCCTTAAATCAACAAACAAACATCAATACAGATTCAGATCAGTTCATTCTGACTGATTGTCATCAAAAATATGTTTTAATGTTTGGTAATGTCTCATCGAAAGTTGAAAAACAGTCAAAAAGACATTATGTCTCCAGCAAAACCAATCTACAAGTGAATGTGAAACTCATTTTCATCATAATCATTACCAAATCTAGAACAATTTGAACATAACCAACATCCTTGAAAAACACAAACCCAGATCAGTCGTCAATGATTTTCTATGAAGAATTTAACTTGATCAGGCACCGAGAGCTTGTCAAGAACGTGGCAAAGAATTAATTTGTAAAAACAGAAGCAGTGTTGAAGACAAGTTGTATATGTTTATTATTTTAAAAAGAAATATGTCACACAACAAGAGACAAGAACAAGCTAAGTTTTATACCAAGTGGATGTTGCATTTATTTGAGAGTTGATTTGCCTGGTCCTGCAGCTAAACCATATTAATATGACTTTGATTTACCTCATTTACCTTATCATACAGGAAGCAGAGGTACTGTAAGTCCCCATGATCCCGAGCGAGGTCGCCTAGCTTTGGTAGCCCGTGTTTTAAAACTGTATATATAATATTGTTCTGCTCAAATATGTTTCATAAATTGTCTCTAAATATAGTGTGCTCAAATATGTTTCACAACTTGTTTTCAAATAAAACTTTGCATAAATATCTGAATTGTAAATATAATAACTTGGTCTCGTCGCTATATGGCTGAAATAATGCCGATGCGACGGTAAATTTTAAATCACTCACTCATCTACCTTATTGTGATGCCTAACGCACAGACTGGTCTCGACAGCTTGGGTTTGGGGAAAGTTATGCATCTAATCCCAGTGAGGCGTAATGGATATAGGGTGTCGGAATTGCACGAGCCGGTGGCACATAAGCTCACAGGCATCGTTTGACCCCAGAAATCTATCTTTAGTTGGCTTAAACTGACGCATGAGCATGATTGACAGTCTATTGAAGTTGCTGCCAGCTCCGAACTGTGCCACCGCCATGCACTGATATGGTGTATGGTAGACCGAAACTTCATACTCCAAACTCAACCTCGGCGTTCGTTAGTGCCAATGATGCAATAACGCCGAATCCACTCCATTCAGAAACGTCTGTGATTAGCAGTCATCTTGATGCCAACCAGTGGTCAACGACTTTTTAATCGTGTTACTTTCAACCCATTGCGTGCTTTTACGTACGAAAAGCGGCGAAAACCTTTTGATATGCGTAAGAAAATTCTCCTGATAGCAGTCCATTGTACGATTCCAAATATATCATGAGTATGAGTTTATGAATCCCTATCAACTAGTACCTATCACAAACCAATACATAAAACAATTACTAAATCATTTAGGAAATGCTTGATCCTGAATATTGTCGATGCGATCCCAGAGATTGTTTTTCTAAAACAACTTATATATCTCTTCCAAAGGAACTGATGGGCCCATGTGCAGATCACGCCTGTCCCCCTGGGAGGCGATGTAGTGTGCATCGTGTGACAAAAGCGGTAATGTGTACGGAGGGTAAGCACTTATTCAATAACCTAAACCAAGTTTCAGCACCACCGTTTATTTACAATGGTATCAGTTCAAGATGTGATCATATTGAGTTAGTCATACATGCGCGTAGAAAGTCTGCCTGTATGCGTTTAAGTCCATATACAATTAGGCCTTTTTGAAGTGACGGAAATATGCCAATTCGCATATCATGTACCCATGCTCGTTGCAGGTAAAGGGAATTCATGGATAACTTCTGTTCTTTATGTTTTGCTTCTTTGTTTGTTGTCTAACGCCGCACTCAACCACGTTGCAACAAGATGACGGCGGCAGGTAACTAGTCCTGACCAGACAATCCAATGATTGGCACTATGCGCATCGATCCACCCAATTGAGATGCGATAACATGCAATAAACCACTTCACTGAGCCTGACCTCCCGATACATTTAGTTTCCTCTTATGACAAGCTTGTCTGGGTAGAATACATTGTAGGTCGCCAGGATCCCATGCTTGTCGGGGTAGAATATATTGTAGGTCGCCAGGATCCATTGCTTGTCGGGGTAGAATACATTGTAGATCCCCAGAATCCCATGCTTGTTGGGGTAGAATACATTGTAGGTCGCCAGGATCCCATGCTTGTCGGGGTAGAACACATTGTAGGTCGCCAGGATCCCATGCTTGTCGGGGTAGAATACATTGTAGGTCGCCAGGATGCCTTGCTTGTCGGGGTAGAATACATTGTAGGTCGCCAGGGTCCCATGCTTGTCGGGGTAGAATACATTGTAGGTCGCCAGGATGCCATGCTTGTCGGGGTAGAATACATTGTAGGTCGCCAGGGTCCCATGCTTGTCGGGGTAGAATACATTGTAGGTCGCCAGGATTCCATGCTTGTCGGGGTAGAATACATTGTCTGCCCCCAGGATACCATGCTTGTCGGGGTAGAATACATTGTAGGTCCCAAGTGTCCCATGCATGTCTGGGTAGAATACATTGTAGGTCGCCTGGATCCCATGCTTGTCGGGGTAGAATACATTGTAGGTCGCCTGGATCCCATGCTTGTCGGGGTAGAATACATTGTAGGTCCCAAGTGTCCCATGCATGTCTGGGTAGAATACATTGTAGGTCGCTAGGATCCCATGCTTGTCGGGGTAGAATACATTGTAGGTCGCCAGGATCCCATGCTTGTCGGGGTAGAATACATTGTAGGTCCCCAGGATCCCATGCTTGTCGGGGTAGAATACATTGTAGGTTGCCAGGGTCCCATGCTTGTCGGGGTAGAATACATTGTAGGTTGCCAGGGTCCCATGCTTGTCGGGGTAGAATACATTGTAGGTCGCCAGGGTCCCATGCATGTCTGGGTAGAATACATTGTAGGTCGCCTGGATCCCATGTTTGTTGGGGTAGAATACATTGTCTGCCCCCAGGATCCCATGCTTGTCGGGGTAGAATACATTGTAGGTCCCAAATGTCCCATGCATATCTGGGTAGAATACATTGTAGGTCGCCTGGATCCCATGCTTGTCGGGGTAGAATACATTGTAGGTCCCAAGTGTCCCATGTATGTCTGGGTAGAATACATTGTAGGTCGCCAGGATCCCATGCTTGTCGGGGTAGAATACATTGTAGGTCCCCAGGATCCCATGCTTGTCGGGGTAGAATACATTGTAGGTTGCCAGGGTCCCATGCTTGTCGGGGTAGAATACATTGTAGGTTGCCAGGGTCCCATGCTTGTCGGGGTAGAATACATTGTAGGTCGCCAGGATCCCATGCTTGTCGGGGTAGAAAACATTGTAGGTCGCCAGGGTCCCATGCTTGTCGGGGTAGTATACATTGTCTGCCCCCAGGATCCCATGCTTGTCGGGGTAGAATACATTGTAGGTCCCAAGTGTCCCATCCATGTCTGGGTAGAATACATTGTAGGTCGCCTGGATCCCATGCTTGTCGGGGTAGAATACATTGTAGGTCCCAAGTGTCCCATGCATGTCTGGGTAGAATACATTGTAGGTCGCCTGGATCCCATGCTTGTCGGGGTAGAATACATTGTAGGTCCCAAGTGTCCCATGCATGTCTGGGTAGAATACATTGTAGGTCGCCAGGATCCCATGCTTGTCGGGGTAGAATACATTGTAGGTCGCCAGAATACCATGCTTGTCGGGGTAGTATACATTGTAGGTCCCCAGTATCCCATGCTTGTCGGGGTAGAATACATTGTAGGTCGCCTGGATCCCTGGCTTGTCGGGGTAGAATACATTGTAGGTCGCCGGGACCGATGCTTAGAGGACCGCTCAGGATTACAGGACCGAAAGTGGTTCTGCGCATGTGTGAAGAGGGTATTGTTGGTCATGAGCGCGCATCCAAGATGGCGGCACATCCGTTTCCGGTGGCGTGCGCATCCAATATGGCCACATGTCCGTTTCCGGGAGGCGTGCGCACCTCGAAGAGGACGGGACATCCGTTTCCGGGGAGGAGGGGGAACCCATAGAAGCGCTCGTACAATAAAGATCAAAATAAAAAAATACAAAGAAGGGGTGGTGGTGGAGGGAGGTGGGTTGTTGTTGGTGGTGGTGGTGGCGATTCCGATCCTAAAAAAAGACAACACAACACTTATGTTTGTTCAACTTTTTAATCCCCCACTCACACAACACAACACAACAAAACAAAAGCCACAGGATTAGTGGCGTCCCTGTGATTTTTGTGAACATGATTTTTTTGTCTTTTTTACCACTAGGGTGTGAACGTATGTACATTCCTAAAACGCAGTGAACGTATGTACACTCCTGAAACAGGAACGTTGACAGTCAGGTGATCGTAGGTTCAGTGAACAAGTGTCAGGTCAATAAGGGCAGAAAGGTTGGTTCTTTTGATGTAGGGTACGCGTCTGGCCACTCAGTCGAAAGGCAGGCATCTCATCCACAGGAACGGAGGTAGACACTTTGGTATGAAACCATGCTAATACCATGGCATCATTCTTGGCGGTGTCCTTCCAGTCCAACGTATCTAACACTTGATTAAAAGTCCACCCACGCACGCGATAGGTCAGCATGTAGAGACAGTACACCCCACACAACGTGCTGTTTCCATGTTGTAAGGGGTGTGTTTGTAGGGTACTGTTTGTAAAGTTTAAAGCTAAAATGAAACATCTTAAATATCTAACTTATATGTACAAATACTTACAACTTGACTTGGCCACAATATGAAATATCCTATACAGCCTGAAACTGTTAGAACAGCATCAGGACTTCCAACCACATTATTACATAAATGGTTGCTAGTGTTCAATTTACCGCAGTTTAAGCAGTTGCTAAAGTTTGCTAAGCAGTTGCTAAAATTTGCTAAACAGTTGCTAAAGTTTGCTAAGCAGTTGCTACAATTTGCTAAGCAGTTGCTAAAATTTGCTGAGCAGTTGCAAATAAAATTGCTAAGCAGTTGCTAAAATTTGCTAAACAGTTGCTAAAGTTTGCTAAGCAATTGCTAAAATTTGCTAAACAGTTGCTAAAGTTTGCTAAGCAGTTGCAAAAACATTGCTAAGCAGTTGCTAAAATTTGCTGAGCAGTTGCAAAAAAAATTGCTAAGCAGTTGCTAAAATTTGCTAAACAATTGCTAAAGTTTGCTAAACAGTTGTTCAAATTTGCTGAGCATTTGCTAAATCTTGCTAAGCAATTGCCTAAGCAGCTGATTGGTCAGTTTTTTTATACAAGTTTAGAGTGCTTCGTTTCCGCTAACAGTTTTCTGACTTTATCTTGCTCGAGCTTGGTAGTAATAACATCCTTTACGCATAGACATTCCTCAAATTTCGGTCTTTGCAATGAAACAGGGCAACCCATTTGGTCTGCTCTCTGAGATCTTTCAGGACAGAGTTGTATTTTTGAGTAAGCACCCAAACGGTATTATCCATAAGTCATCCGGAGAATGCTAAATATGAAAGCATATCTTTCTTTTGGGTAAGTTCTTTACTCGCACTACAGTGGTCTATTACGAAAAGGGTTGATTCTCCTTTGAATTTTTCGTGACATACTCATAAAAAGTCTTGTAAACAATCCCCCGGATCAACTTTGTGCACCCTGGGACATTTCATTACCCAATCTCTTGCTAGGTATGTTTTATTAACGTTTATAGTCGGGCACAAAATAATAATATTGGCGAAAAAATTGTGATATTGACTTTGTAAAATATCAAGAAAATACCCATTTTGCCGCAGATGATAGCGCAGTGCTGTTCTTAAGGTAAAAGATTATTACTATATCACTTGCATAATCTTCCATTTTGTATATTAAGTTGCGCAACCATAATCACGTACAAATATATGTTTAATTTACCAGCCGTTTTTTGCCTTCATCATTATCTATAGAGTAACATCCTCAGTAGCATTCTTGACCCTGAAGATCCGGGATAGAACAGGTCTTCAGCAACCAATGCTTGCCATAAAAGGCAACTATGTTTGTCGTAAGAGGCAACTAATGGGATCGAGTGGTCAGGCTCGCTGACTTGGTTGATGCCTGTCCTCGATCCAAATTGTCTGGTCCAGACTCGATTATTAACAGACAGACGTCATATAGCTGGAATATTGCCGAGTGTGGCATTAAACAAACAAATAAACAAAACACTAGCATTCTCTTTTCTCCCCCCACTACCGTGTAGTTGGTCACCATCTGTGGGACCCGTGAAGATTCCGGGGTAGAATAGGTCTTCAGCAACCCATGCTTCCCGTAAAAGGTGACTATGCTTGTCATAAAAGGCGACTAATGGGATCGGGTGGTCAGGCTCGCTACTTGGTTGATGCATGTCATCGATCCCAATTGCGTGGATCGATGCTCATGATATTAATCACTGGGCTGTCTGGTCCAGTCATATAGCTTGAATATTGCTGAGTGCGGGGTTAAACAACAAACCAAAAACAAACCATCATCTGTGGTCCTCATGTCGAGCCATACCGCATACTTCGAAGTGAGGAATTCACCCAGTGATACATCCCCAAGAGCCAGCTGTTTGCAATCGCGTTAACTTCTGGGCTTCGTCATATAGAAGGGAGTTTTTAATCTCATCCTGCTGTTGATACCTTGACTATATAGTTGATTAGGCACACACCCGACAGTCAATTCTACTTTTGTAATCTTGGGGTTGTAGAATGCCTTGGTATCTCTTGAAAATGGTTCAGAAGCTTCCTTGAACAACATTAAAATACCCTTCAATGATCTAGCAGGCACGTTGGATGGATATTCCACGTTGTATCACTTTTGTCTCTGGAAATCTTTTGGAGTCAAAACATGCGATCATACAAAATGGCTAAACTTCCACTATACTGGTTACGAATTTGTCAGGCTAATTCAGGATCTGTTATCATATCTGTTACTCCAGTAAGATATTATCAATGGAATAGCTACACTCACCTTCAGTGGGTTTGATTACTATGTGGTAGTCATTAAAAGTGATTTTATATTCTACCCTATCACCTTGATAGAAGGGCATGTGACTATCTAGTAATTCAAAGACAAGCGGAATATAGAACCGGTTACCCAATTCATCAGCATGCAACAGCCTTATCTTCTAGGATGGTATTATCATCATTATCATCACCCAGACGCAGTCTCTTTGAATTTATATTATTATTGATTATTACGATGTCTTAAAAGAAAACAAAAAATACGTTACTCCTGTTGGTCGTGACTATTCCAGTTTACAATAGATAGTAAAGGAATATTGTGACTGCGTGGCTCACCAGATACTGATCTTATGAATTCTCGTACTCATAAACCCCTAGCATTGTCTACAATAGCTGGGTGTTGTGGCGGCATCAACATTATTCGTAATGAATTCGGTCTTGTAGACTATGACAACTCACAAGCAAAACTTTCTGCAAAGACTACTTAGGTTCCTCAGACTGTGCGGACTGAACTTGGTGCAACGGCGGCTGCCACAGATCAAGATAATTTTGAAGACGTACCACAACACGCAAAGGATGCCTCTGATGGTCTCGAAGAAATCTTGGCAACCTATGATATTTCCACATTTCAGGGACTATCCTTGGAGTACTGTATTAGAGAACTACGAGGTCTTGACAAGGCAATGCAAACACTATGGGGATCACTCATCAACAATATAGCCAAGCTAGATGAACTTGACAATAATATAGCTTATAAGAAAACAAAACTTACACAGACAGGTGAATTCAGTAGACACAGTGTTGCAGAAATATTGCGTAACTTAGAAGATGAAAGATCAGCCCACTTGGAAGCTGCTTCCACCACTAATAGAGAAGCACCCCGCTCACAAATCAGTCGAATTCAAGAAGCTGTTGATCAAGTCCTCAATGATGATACTACACTGGCCGAAAGAATTAAAACATTGTTCAAAGAACAAGGGATAACCTTTACCAGTATTTCAACCGCATTGGGATTTATCATATCAACTTTGACTCTCGCGTTAACTGGGGGTACAGGCGATGGCACACATCCTGGTGATAAGGATGGTGTAAGAGAGTGGATAAATTAGCACTTAAAGGCATTAGGAGAATCACTAGCGAAGATTGCAGGGAAAGCCGCGTCTGCAGGGAGTAATAGGGAGTATTATATCCTGGCTCTTGAATTTATTAGCCAAGACCGCCACTTGGCTTAGTCAGTCAAAACTTGTGGGCAGTCACTGTTGTATGTAACTGCTAAAGACTATTTATCCAAATCCTGTGACTCAACCTACTATAAGCGCTGTTTTTTCATCGATATGTTGATTTTGAAACTCAACATGTGGCTGTTGCACTTCTGTTTTTGACTTAATTACAGTAGATGACTGTGGCTTGACTATTGCTGTTTTGCCTGTGTTTGGTTGCATTATAAATACAGTGTTAAGATCTGAATTGAAACCTAATGTTTGTTTATCGGTAGCAACAACAATTATATTATTATAACCTACCACTTACCAAGCTTAAGTTGCATGTTACTCGGTGACAAGTACAGGCCTATTCCAAAAGTATCGTCTTCTTTAGACTCGTGTTTGTGACTAAGCTCCAAGGAGAGTCCATTAATTCTTTCAACGCCAGGATGAGTAAAACCTGATTTATTTTAAATGAACTTTTTCCAAGCATTTTCGGCATCACGTGGTTGTCCAACCTTTTGGAACAAGAGGTCATTAAAGAGTTCATTAAAGATCGTTACAATATGTACAAAGGTAAAACTTTTAAAACTTCTATAAAGGTAACATCCAACCAAAGGTACATTTTAAATAGTAATGCAATGATATAATATTAAGTATGTTTCACATGATACACTATACTTTGCACACAATTAGTTAATGCTTAAAGGGACTGACCAAAACATGGGCGAAATATTATGATAACGCCACAAATTAGTTAAAGTAGGTTAAAATGAGTTTAATCATGTGTCATGTTGCTTGTAGGCAAATCTTTATGTATATTGTTAAAGAAAAACATGAGTTTTGAGCAAAGGAAAATATTCTCGCCCATGGGCGACATAGTTCAAATTTTGAGTTTTCGAAAGATTTTACATTTGTTCTTCCTTTTTATGTACCCATGAGAACAGCATATTCAATTTTGTAAATATCTTTACCTTTGACAAATGGGTTTCTAGAATTATAAATGTGACGTGTTGCAAAGGCATTTTACAAGTTTTGGAGATATAAATTTTCGAAATTTTTTTGCGACGACACAAGCCAAGCGAGATCAGTTACCCAAAATTGTGCTTGTAACCTTTTCCACAAATTAAAACAGTTGGATTAGGCCGAAACATGTTCGGCTTGTTACCTTGTTTCGTTTTGTCGCTGTGTGTACATGTGACTGCACATCGTAACGCTATGACAGGACAGGCCGACTGTCAACAACGTCTGACGGTGGCCGTGACGTCTCATAGACCAGGGTAAGAGCAGCTTCCTTTTATTAATTGGCAATTACCCTATCGGACATACTGATGGATTGCCGCGAAAGGCAAGTAAAACAATTTGTATAGGCAATTGTTGTTTGGCATAAATGTAGTTACACCACTGTATAGGAAACAGGTTTCAGTTAGAACTATATTGGCTTCTGTCTCTGTCCGACTGACACATCACTTACCCTCTGACGTAGCATATATTAATGCGCACTTTCTAGGAACGATTGCAGTGTTCAGGCAATGTCTGAGAGATGGGAAGAGATTTTAGAGCACAGAATTATATGATAGAGACATTATATGATAGAGAGGTTAAAAGACTCGCAAAATACAATGTTTATTTCTTATACAGGATATTCACCATCCCCAAACACGCTCGCGTGATAACGTCTATTTATGATGTTCTCCACAGTTGGTGTCTATGTATGTTCTGAAGCACATGTTCCAAACGCAACCTGCATTTACGGATCCAAACTGATAGGAGGAACTCGGTCTTGTACCTGCCAAAGCAACTATCTAGATGTGCCTCGAGACGTCCTCAATGTCAACAACACCTGTATGAAGAACGGCAGCTGGTCGACACCCTCGGTTAACTGCTCTGGTAAATCCTTTACTTGACAAACATTTTAGACATGTCTAGGACATTTCCAAAATCGATGCATCAGTGACAAAAATGATGTCCGAAGCAACTCCCCATTCTGATTTGTACCATATGTTCCCGTGTTTGTTGAGGGTGAACAATTGACTTGCCTCTGCATGTGTTTGTGACAGGTGCCACTGGCGGGGCAGGATACGTTCACTTTTTCGTTAACACCTGGTATGGTATCATGACTATTTGATAGAGATTCATAAACACATGCGGCCCGTGAAGATCCGGGGTAGAATAGGTCTTCAGCAACCCTTGCTTGCCGTAAAAGGCGATTATGCTTGTCGTAAAAGGCGACTAACGGGATCGGGTGGTCAGGCTCGCTGACTTAGTTGATGCATGTCATCGGTCCCAATTGCGTGGATCGATGTTCATGATGTCAATCACTGGATTGTCTGGTCCAGACTCGATTATTTACAGACCGCCGTCATATAGCTGGAACATTGCTGAGTGCGGCGTTAACAACAAACAAACCATACAAAACCATAAACACATGCTCATGATTTAGTCGGAATTGTACAATCGATTATGTTTATGCAGACATTTCTATTTGATCTGGAAAGGGTATTTTGATAGTGATTTATAAGCTTAGGATAAAACCGGGCGGTCGGGTAGCCTAGTGGTTAAAGCGTTCGCTCGTCACGCCGTAGACCCGGGTTCGATACAATGTGTGAAGCCCATTTCTGGTGTCCCCCGCCGTGATATTGCTGGAATATTGCTAAAAGCGGCGTAAAACCGTACTTACTCACTAGGATAAAACCAGTATCGTACAGCAGACCCTACGCTTAGCAGATATTCCTTATGATTGCAACAAACATAAAGCTATAAGATATTTGATTGAAGAAATTATACCCAGCACTTCAATATGGTGCGCTCGCACACACGCACACACACACACACACACACACACACACACACGCGCGCGCACACACACACAAACACGTCGTACTATAGGTGGTATCATCCTGAACGGGTCGTTATACTCCATAATACCCATCTCCCTCACCTGTGCTACAAATGTTATAATTAGAAGATAAATACTATGTGTGTGTCTATTTCTCGAGTATTTGCATCTTGGAAATTCATCTCGAGACCCGAGAGCGTTAGTTTGAGGGGCTCGAATGAAAATCTCCAAGATGCAAATACTCGATAAAATCCCGGAAATAGACACACACATAGTATTTATCGATATTGTAAACCTATTGTTTTATTTAGAAAAAAACATGCGCACTCTTTAACACCTCGTACTTACTCGGTTGTGAGGCGTCAACATCGAACGTTCTGTTGTTGCTATGGTGTTTGTGATTTTGGTAATGATGACGGACTACTTTCCTGAGTGTAAGTCATTCATAAGTTGCTGGTGCTTCAGTCGAATGTTCACCGTATAATTAATAATAAAAATAAACAAACTCGAAATCGTCTGCGAGTTTGTTTGTTATTATTATCAGTTACATTATCTGTTGCTATGTCAACATAATTGTTTTTTCAGAGTGTAAACCCCCTGGATGCCACAGCGACACATATGTCCCTCCTCTTCAACCCCCACTTCGAAATCGAATATAATTCAAAATACATCACGCAGAATAATACACTTCACAGTTTTGAATTCCTCTTTCTGTTTATCATTTACTGTCATTTTAGGCAATTCAAAATTACTGAAAGTGACTTCTGAAAATTAGGTACATTGTAAATCTCGCCAAATCACAATTCACGGCGTTATATAAATATTTACTGTGTGTTTAGAAATCTAAATATCGGATATTTTTTACTCGAATAATCAAAGTAGAAAATTAGCATATTAGCGATCACCGGTATCAAATCACTACTGATAATTCTGAAACGTCGCTGGGAAGCCTAGAATCGTTTAGAATGTTTTGGAAAATACGCATACACGAACGCCGAAGTGTACGTTCCGCCATATTGGATTGTGTTTACAAAATGCCGGTTATGAGACGCCTATTCGATCAAGTATATTTCATGAATTCCTCATACATTTTCGAAATTATGGATAAATGGTCTTTGTCACCAATGCAAATTATCTAGATGAAATCATGCGAAATAAGTTAGGTATGGAAACGAAAACTGTGCTCGGAAAACTGTACTTGCTGAAATGTAAACAAAGCAAAATTCAGATTTAACACTGTGTAGCATTTTTAGAGGTACTTTCGTCTAATTGTTGCATACATTGGCTCGATCACGCGTTTGAGAATATTCATGGTAAGAGTATCGTTGCACTAATTATGGAAATACACATATATACATTACAATGATGTGGTAAATTCAACAGAAGCCGTTTACAAAAGTTTCCGTCATGTGTGGCGCCATGACTGACGCTAAATCACGCACAACGATGACGGTAGTTATCTGCATTTCTGACTAATTCTCTTTGTTACATTGGAAAACATGGTAAACAAATAACAGTACGCAGATTGTCAGAATGCTTCTGATTACTTACGTGACCCATTTATGTGTATACGATCCCTCAATCAACAAAATTCCTCCCCTGGAAATCCCGCGTACTGTTGTTGTCAGTGAACACGCCATTTTGTGAAAGTCGGTCACCGGTAGTGAGGTCATACGGAAGTAAACATTGTTGTACATATTTGGTAATTTCTTTGAGGTGTAAACTTTCAACTTGGCACCCAGCCTGTTCTTTGTTTTTGTCTACTTTGCATTTTCATCATCGCCTTGATAATCCAGATATGACGGAAACCTTTTTGTGTCGGGTAACATTATTTATGAGTAGTAAGCAGCACATAGGATGACGTCCCTTATGACAGTGGTGTCGTGTATAATGCGCTACTGCAATCATGACAAATTCATCGGTTCGATGCTAAAAAGGTGCTATTTTGGGGTGTGAGAGAAAGAGATTACTGCATTCGTGCCTGTCAGATACCATTGATCTTACAACTCGTTGTTACAAAGCGTATCTAACTCGCTTCGCTCGTTAGATACGTTTTGAAACAACTCGTAAGATCAATGGTATCTGACAGACAGTCCTGTAGTAATCTCTATTTCCTACACAGTGATTCGGTCCCCTGCTTCAGGGAATTCAAATAATATTTTCACCCTTTGATATTTGGTCATGTGACCCAAATTAGCCAATCACAAAACAAAACACACTTTCTATAGGTTTACAATACAGTATGTGTGACACCATATGGCAGTTTAACATGGATACCCTACTCAGATCATCACACTGACTCCGAGCCAATCCGTCCTTGTTTTATCCCCTTAATGTCGTGCGCAAGGCAGCGTAAGAAAACCTCTTTGGGTATGACCCGTCCAGGGTATCGCACAGGGCACACACTCTATCGACAAGACCACGGATGTGGTTCACATGACAGAGGTGTCATTTCACAAGTTTTTCAGCCACTTTTAATAACATTTAATAACATTTTCGCGCAAGCTCCGACGTTCATACAATTTGGCCCTCACTCTATGAAGCTTCATATTCCAATGAACTAACACAAAGTGAAGGTCAATTCTTAAATAGCGGCGAAATATATATGAATAGATCACTGAAATCCAGGGATGACACCAGATGTTTACACACTTTCAATATGACTTTTGTGTGGCTTTTCGGTTCAGGAGATGAGGCCCAAATCTTAAATCAGTAGTATGTTGTATTTGATTTATGAACGCATTGATGAAAATAATAGAAACGGTTGTCGACTGCATCGTGTATCGCCCGAGTCAATGGGGCAACAATCTGAACAACGAAAACTTAATCAGCTGTTAATGGTTTTTGTCTTCCTTTTCCAGGACCCTATGTTAAAGTCTACAGTCCATTTCTCAACACCTACACCTTCCAACAGATACCAGCGAGTAGGTTAAGGAAGATAACCGGTGGTACTTCGTCCATTGTGTTTCTGGTAAAGGCTTGTCACGACGCCAACATTGCCCTACACACTCGTCCCAACACAACCGACACTGATGCCTATGAGATCATTGTCGGAGGATGGACAAACACTTTTTCCTGTATTCGTCGTTGCTTCTTCTGTCCACTTATAGATTCTTACAAAGAATCGTCCATACTATCCTGCCATGAGTATAGGCCATTTTGGCTCAGTTGGAAGAAAGACGTCATCTCTGTAGGCAAGGGACAAATTGTTGGACACCAGACGTTTATTGAATCGGCACCAAGTAGTCCTATTGTGATTAATCACGTTAGTGTTAGCGCCTTCAAGAGGAACCATGCTATGTGGCTATTCCGAGAGCAGTAGCTCACATGAGGTACTAGATAAATGGTAAATTATTCCTTAAACCCCGACAGTGTACACAGGACAGGACAGTAACAAACATATTGACTATAACTTTCGTTCACCTTCCAGTGAATGCGATATGTGTTTGACGGAGGATTTTATGTAGTGAGGACCGAAAACGACCACTTGCTAAAGTGTTTGAAAAAAGTTTATCAGTCGACAAGCTGATACAATTGATGCAATTTATCTTACACTTGACGATAGTCCTGCACATGTACAATTATGAAAAGAACGAAAATAAATCGATGTTAGTTCTACGATATTATATGATATATCAGTACATTTGAACCTATTGTTATTTCTCACTTTTCCAAGTATATGGGAATAGTGAGTGAGCTTGTACCTCACGAATGACCGTAAATCAACTTTGGGTCATATTGTTATATTTGCCTGGGTTAGGATACTTGAATATATTAAGTGTTGAGAAAAGACGAAGATGTACAACTGTCTGCATGCCGGTATAAACACAAATATCGTATTGGGCGACTCGTTACATACTAAAAAATGTTGTATACACATAACTTATTTAACACTATAAAAGCGGCATAAGTGCAGGTTACCACACACACACACACACACACACACACACACACGCACGCACACGTGGCTATGCACAGTCAAGTCCGGTAAATCCGACATGGTTGGTTGCATATGATTATGGCGGATTAACAAGTATGTCGGATAAACGAAATTAAGTAGTTTCAACTTTCGTGATTGAAAAATGGACAACTACGCGATAGATAAAGACACAAAGAAGTAATAAAAAAATATATCTCAGCTTCTTTGTGCCTTGTACACATTAATTTGATGAAAGTATTCTTGCAGTATTTATCTCAGCAGATTATAACAAGATTGAGCTTGAGTGAGTGAGTATGATTACACGTGGCTATTAGCAATATTCCAGCACCATCACGGCGGGGGACACCAGAAATAGGCTTCACACATTGTACCCATGTGGGGAATCGAACCCCGGGTCTATGGTTTGACGAGCGAACGATTCAACAACTAGACAACATTGAACTTAATATCAGGTGACAAACGTGAATATTGACAGAAGAGGGTGGCCAAGCTGAGTGTCATTAATTTCCCGATGAACGTAAGTATGTCATGTGATTACGTTGTCAATCGGGCGGAGACATACAGAACTACTTTAGGGGAATTCCTCAATGTCTAAAAAATAACATTAAAAATCAATAGGGAAAACTGAGAGAGACAACGATTCAGGCTATGAATGATGCAGGCTTTGAAGCTGGACAGATCATGTTTATGTCGGGTCACCGAAATGAGGCGTCCATTCGAAGCTGAACAGAGAATGCCCGACTTACCAAAAGAAATCACTGAGCTCCACACCGTCGTGTATTGCTTCGGGGAAATCCCACCGCGCTGCTCTAAGCGGTAGTCCCCGTCATCAACAGCCGTAGTATGACTCAACCACACACCCAAATTTCACAGAAAGTTATTATCAATCCATTTTCAGCATCAGCCGGTTCTGGATGTCTTTCCAATGCCAACTTTAGTGGGCGCAACCTTTATTTCAAGCGGATAACATTGCCGTAGCCGCCATTTTCAGCAGTTTGTAAAATCAAGGGATGTCACTCCAAATGGAATGTTTGGGACGGACGACATCACGACGTCACGACAACCGCGTTAATATAGTTCGTTTCGCGCATCACGGAATTTGCTCTCATGAGGCACTGTCTTCATCAGCTGATGAACGACAACAAATACTTCAATCCTTAATTGATTTGATTTGGGTGTGCACAAGGTACAACGTGTCATATTTTGTCTTTGAGGAAAGGCATATGAAAATCCAGAAAAAGAAGACACAGTAAAACATACATACAAATCACTTATGTGCACATTCAGACGATGATGAACGTTTTTCGCAATAACTGCATTCACAGAAAAAGGTCAGCCAATACATGAAGACGACTTACACACATGTATACAACACAACTGTTACAGGTGTGAGAACAGATCGACAGGTCACTAGGTATCATAAAAGTGGGTTCATTAAAGACTAAAGCATGGGTTGCCACAACATGGACACAATATCAGCTGTATTATATTTAGTAGAACCTACACTACAAATAGTCAATTCACACATCTTCTTTCATAAATATTCATGTTAACTAATCGAGCATAGACGATCGATCGACAGAGTAACCACAGAAGTAACTACACAAGCACGATCGGTAGCACAATCAATACAAGACGATTGCACAACATTTTCAACGTGGCTTTTTCGACAGACTGTCGTTGATCCTGTGATAAAGTTGACACCTATCAGTTCTCCTCCATGACGAATCGCCATGGAGGGAATACCAACACACATTATGCCCCACATGGGTCTATCAAAAGCGACATATGTAACAGTGGTAAATACTGTGTTATCAGCAGCTTTAATAACTAACAGAGTAGGAGGTCAGTGAGGACAGTGTTATTATGGCACACCGGGAGACACAGCTGCTGCCTGTGGATGGGGCATGTAGCAACACATACACTCAGTCCACTGCCTTGGTTCCCGGCTGAAGACTGGGTCTGACTTATCACCAGGATCACTCTATTTTCCATAATCAATGTTTGAAATAGAACCCCATGAATGCATCTGATCACCTGATGTCAGTTCTGATCTAACAGATCCGACAAACTGAACCTGCATCCGGAAGTCAAGGACGGGGAATCTTCCAGGGTACTCACATCTAATCTGGTCAGACATCCTCCCGCCCATCACTAACACTGAAACAAGATATCAAGCATGATATTCTACCCATGTTGTGGTTTGATTACATCAAATATCTGTGTCAGAGTAAGATTCTTCATTTCTCCAATTACACCCATGGTGTATATTTCAGTTTTATTTTTTGGGACCCGAGGAGGCCGAATAAGAAAAAAACAGTTCATCCACTAAAAGGACAGGGTTGCGAGGCTCAATGAGTAGATCGATGCCCATGATGTCAATCACTGGAACGTCTGGTCCGGACAGGAATAGTTACAGATTGCTGTCTATTACTGAGTGTGGCATAAAACAATTGATGTTTGGAACTATCGGTTTGTAAACACGCTAGGGATGACAATCCATTCCATAAAAATGCCGAGTACAAGTAGATTTAAAACTGATACTGAAGGCACAGGTACATGTAACTTCAGACATCAAATTTGAACTATTGTGTAACCAAACAGACAGAACACATGCAGAAAATCAAAGATAAGACCAGATGACACACAACGCATTGACCATTTTGGAGGACACACGAGCTGAACTGAAAAGCTCCATATCGGAAGTGCTACAAGACCGAACGTAGGAAATACTGTCCAGTTTACCTTGACTTGAGTAAATACTCGATTCTGATTAGTTAATTATAGTCAATCAAAGGTATAAACTCACATAATACATGTCTCTGCTTTACAATTATACATATATAATTTTTTAATTTGAAGTTTACACGATATAGGGCTTTTCCATTGGACGAGACAGCGGTCACATGACCGCGAAATTGACGTTCATAAGTGTATGAACGACACAGTTTGACGTTCATACGTTTTCACGAGACCGTGTTCTTGAAATGACGTAAACACTGACGGACTACTTCCACATTCCTGGGGAAACCCCTGGGAATTCCCTAGCACGAAATCACACATAAGCGTTCTTTCTGGTCATTAAGAACCTTTATTCTTGGTCTCAGCGTTTCAGTATCCACTGAGAAATGTCAGAGAGCGTGACTGCATGATTGTTCACGAACATCCTCGCTGCGGTCTATCCTTATGAACAAACGATGAAACGCACATTTAAACTATCGTAGTGTCGACTCAATCCGTGCCTAGGCTGATATTGACCGTCTCCAGCAATCTGTGAATTTACCTTAGTGTCTGTTTGACGCATCTTTATTCACCTTTCAATGATCGGCCAGTTGATCAATGATGACTTACACATGTAACCGCCACACGTTCATTAACAACTTCGGAAATCTCTCCCGTCACGTTTATCGTGTCGGCCATTTTGACGTCTTGTACTTGATGTAAATGTATTACGACGCGCTGTCATTGTGACTGACTTACTGAGGTAGTTCTTTACAGACCTTTCTCATCTAATGAGGATATTATTTTAACACACGTGCTGCTTAAGATGTTTCTGAAGAGCAAGTTGTGCATCCATACGCCCATGTCACCTCTCTTTTTGAGGAACTATTTTACTCCGCGATATAGCTGGTTGTTGTATGGCTGTCAGTGTAAACATGAAGTCACACGCACTAAATAAAATTGTGTTTAGATCTTGGCCTACATCCTTTGAGGTAAGAAATTGTGATAAAAAAATTATAAGAATTGACTCATAGAGTGAGGGCCAAACATTGTATGAACGTCGTTGCAAGCTCCGACGTTCATACAGTCTGGCCCTCACTCTATGAAGGTTCATACTCCAATGAACTCACACAAAGTGAAGGTCAATCCTTAATTACATACATATTGCCATGTAATGCATTTTTCCCGTTTGCCCACCAACATAGCGGACACAAAACAACCAACGATGAATTACGGCGATTATGCTGTCGGAAATTACCCATCTGTTTTTGAAGACTGATTTAGTGATAATGAGCGAATGCGACAGATTAGATCGACATTAATTCCCGTCATGATGGCAGAGAGGAGTAACAAAAAAGTCTCCTATATGAGCTATGACAAGCTGGTTATCGATGAAACAGTGTTTATATAAGACCATGAAATCTCTGATATTCGCCAGGCTGAAAGACGTCACATGGATAGAGATAGGGCAATGGTTCCATGGACACTAAGTCTAGCGCTGATGATGACATGATTCTGGACAAACTGTTAAGTATAGGTACTAAAACCTGAATTCTAATACAGATTTCACACATTGTGATGGATCTGACAACCAGATGTCTGCACAACAGATTGTGGAACCAGCAAATAAATGTTGTGGTGTGTTTAGCAAAGTTGATTCCAACAGATTGATTATCACCGTATGCTCAAGGATTATTAACGGCTTAATATAAAAAAATGAGTATTTAGGATTTATCTTCTGAAACAAAAATGACATTTTCTGTGTAATAGAAACAATGTGCATGATATTTTGCAAAATGTATTTAACGACTATGACATCTTTAGTTGCAATTCAAAACGTTATAAATCTC